AATCTCACAGTTGTAATCTGAAACCCAATTTCAGATACACTACCATAATTGTTGTTCCCAAAACTACTTTCTCCCTGATTTTTAAACTCCATCTTTGGTCAAGAATCAGTAGCTACAAACTGTTAGAGTCACTACACCAGAAAACAACACTTGGGCAGTCGATCACAGTCAGAAAACAGTAGGGAACCAATGCAGGCCTGATCTGAAACAAATCTGTAATCACAGTATATGCATGAACTAGTGCAGGTCTGATCTGAAACCAATCGGCAATCACAGTATATGCAAGAAATCAATACAAATCCGATCTGAAATCAATCGGCAATCACAATACCAAGCAGTCTAGCAAGTTTTTTCATCCCCTAGAAGAGCTCGAAACCAAAAATAGGTCTAAAACCAGCTTAGAGAGCAATTTGAGATGCTGGAGCAGAATTAGGGTTTTAATCATAGGTCTTAAATAAGTGCTCAGCCGCACTTTCCAAACAGTCCGTACAGTTAGGACCTGTCGTAGGGTCAATGTGAAACCCTAAAACTTATCACCTCTGAGAGGAAACCCTAAAACAATCACTTTCCAAGAAGATAAAGAGGGTTCGGCCCAACAGTCAAACCCTAGATTAGAGAGAAAAACCYTAAAGCAGTTYGGCYTCTCCTTCTAGATAGGTCCAACCTATCTCGACTGATAGCAGTCTCTGGAAACTAAATAAAACTTACTCAAAGAATGTTGTTCGTTGCCTTCCAGGGTTACCTGAACCCGAGCCTTCGCTGCTTCTTCCTGATTACCAACACTCTGCAAGCCGCGGCCAGTCCTCAACAGCTGTGAAACTCTCCTAGTAATCTCCAAGAATCAGCCAACGAATACTGCTTCATAAGCTTCTAGCCCTAGCTGGTTCTCATGTGGTCGGCTGGACAAGACACACATGAGAAGCCCTAGATAGGTTCTGATACCAAATAGAATATCAAGACTGCAATCAGCCTTGAACCCTAATAGATTTTAGGTTAAGAAAAGTAGAAGAAAAGTGAGAGGAAGGAGGAAGAGAAGAGAAACTGGAGAACACAAGGGTTTGAAAGAAGGGACAGATTCTAACACATCTGCCACCGCCACTCTCTTAGTATTTATAGGTTATGTTCACTACATAGAGAAAAAGACAGGTTTGCTCTTACTACTTACATGACAAATAAAGTAATAAAAACTGAAATAAATAACAAGCTGACCCCAACTGACACTACTAGGACTGAAACAAATAATTACATATACTGTCCTACGAACACAGAGGGGACCACTGTTGTGGGGCCCACATCAGTGTTCTCTACAGAAACAAACAGAATAATAAATACTAAGAACGCATCTGGTTTCACATAACAGAAATAAAAGACATAAGAAGAGATATATCAAGGACCAAGGCACAATACAGCAAAAGACCAAGAAGAAGGGAAAAAAGAAACGAACGAAGCCAATAAAACCTAATCACCAACAAATTAACCCCAGATGCCCAATCTCAATGCCCTAGCAGGGCTACCTGCAACTTGGCCAGCAGGATTTTTTACATACTGTGTCAGTAGGACTTAGGTGCAAGGATGTCCAAGAAAGCATCCCAGCTTTTTTTCAGCCAAGTCCCTGCACAAAGTTTAAAGAAAGAAAAAAATATATCATACTTTGCTAATGTCTCCCTGGTTCTTTTACCATTAGCCAACAACATTAAGGATGGAATATTAGCAGCACGGGAAAAAAAAAATTGTGAATCTATCGAAAATAGTCCACATGCTTCTTTTCTGGTGTGCTGGTCTCATGTCATCCAAAACATATGAAATTCTAACAGGAAGAGACAGGGCCTTCAGTTCTGAAGTATCAAATGTCTAGTGTTACTCAGAATATATAGATATAGATAACTGACAAGAGTCTGAGAGAAACCACCTTGTGCAAAAAAATGCCAAAGGCTTGGCCTCTATCCCGTGAAACCCTCCCAAGACCCCAGAATAGCTGGGACCAATATTGGGTCCTTTTTGCTATTGACTTCCACACTCAGAAACAAATTCCTTTCTATAATTACCTTCAGTTTTTCTGAGAACAGGTAACGTAGTGAACTATGTGAACAATTTGCCTTCAATTCCTCCCAAAGATCATCCAGAAGCTATCTTCATACAAAAGGACAAGAACATGATATAGCTTCTGACAGTGGAACTGGATTTTATTTAAGGAGAAGACACAGGACTATCACAAAACAAGCAAGCATGTATTTGTATTAGAAGACAGAGATGTGAGTAGCGTGTACATCCAAACAATATTGGTAATAGTTTGGCATAAAATTATCCAGAATGCCAGTTTTAAGACATATTCCTACTATTTAAACATTTTGCACATATCCATGGATTCTAAGATACCAGCAGAACGAGCAAACAAGATTTTCAGCTTCATGAGACATCTGGTATGCATCACATTTTTCATGCGAATATGCAAAATAAAGCTACTAACCTTTGTTGGCTGCCGATCATCTTGTCGATTCCGTTTTCTTTGGTGTGAAGGTCGGGGAGAGTGTGATCGTTTATTACGACCAGATCCTCCATGAGTCTTCTCGCCTGAGTGCAAATCACCAATCTCTGAGCTTCGAAGAGGAGGGGGCTCAGCTACATCTCTCACTAGTCCTTTCCATTCCCTATTCCGTCGGCTTCTAGGTTCCTTGGTTAAGATTTCCCTTTCAGATTCAGAATCTAGATCCTTGGGATCATATCTTTCTGTCTGTTCAATCAATACAGGCTTTCTCTTAGTCACTTCATCTTGACAAGTTTCTCCAGGTTGCACATATAGATGTAAATTTGAAGAGAGATGATCCCAGAGCCTGCGCAAATATTAAGTTGCAGGTGATAGCAACCACATCGAAGTAAATGATTTCTATGACCTCAAATTAGATTAAAGGTAAAGTTGACCTACCAGGATACAAAAGAATCGCTATCATCCCCCAAAAAAACATTCAGCTCACTCCTCGCCTCTCCTTTATGCCTGCCATTTCTGAGTAAAACAATGGCATATTCCTGCATATGAAAATATGGAAGTGAAGTCACAAATTTCCATCACGAATATCAAAGCATTTTTCTTAATAAACTCCCAACTACAAGTGCAACTTGACAGGCCAGGGCTGAGCATTTTGTAAGAGGTTAGGGGTTTAGCAGAAGGTCCTGGGCCTAATGCAGTGAAAATTCTTCAAATTGGGTTACCAATTTGCATCCCTGTTCTCAACTTAATCTTGCAACTCCAGACACATAGCAACACTTTTGCAAGCACTTTCCAAATTCTACAATATAATCATCCTAAGGCATAAACTCAACATTCTTAAATGAAAGTAAAAGGGGCAATCGGATGCCCAACAAGTTAAACTGCTGAAATGATGAACAAGAATTAAGACTGTAATTTTTACACAAAAAAATAAGGAATTAAGACTGTAATTCTATTTACACAGTTATTACTTACATATTAAGGACCGCCAAAATTACTGAGTTATCAGATTTGGGCAATCACCCTAACCCATTCAGGTTCAAATCAGAAATATAGGTGCCAGGTTAACAGTTTGACAAAGACAACCTACATCTCAAAGCTCAGATAGGGCTTAACCTGGGGCAGGCTTTGGTGAAACCACCCCACCCTAATTCACATACAACTCAAGATGACTATATCAATTTGAGCTTTACAATTCATCATATCCCTCCATAATATGCATCTCAACCTCCTGGATAAATGCAAAAATCTTCTGTAGTATCCACTTCACATTTATTGGTCACAACAATCAAGTTAAAAATGTTAGCACACTATGAAGAAAGAATCAGTTTCCTTGATCTTTGAATTTCAACATCCCTAATATTGGTTAGTTATAATGTGTTCCAGCCAATCTTTGTACATTTCAAGTCATTTTACTTCTAATTCCCATAAACATTGCATTTGTCAAAATAGATCGAGTCATCTTTTGTACATAGAGTTGCAGTGAGCTTGCATTGTATTGTTCTAATTCCCAAGTTCCTTTCTGAGCATCATCTCTTCCCAAGAACTATCACAAAGTTAGTTTATTTTTTCCACCAGGAAATCTATATATACAAAGAAATAGATGGTGAGGCCTGAGGAAAGCCAAAAAGAATACTTTGAAAAGTTTACACAACCTTGACATACAAARGAAATCCMAGGTGAATTTGTAGAAAATTAACCATGACTAAATCAGAACAATTGTAAGATGAGAAGCCATGCTGTCATCTGGCCCAATTCCAACCACAAATACACAATACTTGCCAACATTGATGTCCAAACTCAACACAGCTTTCAAATAATAGAGTGTGCTTTAAGCACCTTCAACTTTTCAATTGAAGGACCATTAAGGGCAAGAATGTTGACCACAAATTCAAGACCACCACCCAAAAAAGAAGGATCTACTCTAAAGCATTCAATAAAGTCAACTTCCTGCATTCTCCACAGCCATCAACAAACCAATTGGACAATACACTTTCCTTTTATTGACAAGTAATTATAAGTATTTCATTACACAAGAAAAACAGGTAAAAGGCCATACGCCTACAATCTCAATGACTATTGAATATTTAGATTTTTTTGACAGGCAAAGTGTAATATCTGTATTAATAAAAGATAGGGAAAACTCCCAATAAATATATACAAAGCTAGCCCCTTCAAGGTGAAAGGGGAGTGAAGAAAGACCATATAGACATCCGAAACTAAAAGTGAATGATTTACAATCAAGAAACGTGACCAGCAGACCCATTCACCCAAAACAATTTGATCCCACTGATCACAGAAATCTTGGAATGAGAAGCCGGAGAAGTCCTTCTTGATGCAAGCCCATCTAACTAATAGCCTCTCTGCTCTGCCTATCACCAATTCCTGGGAGGACTTGCCTTTGGAGATGCAGTGATTCCTCTCTCCTAACAAGACCAAACAGATTGCTAAAGGAGAAGAGGACCACAAAAAGGCATCTCTTTTGCTGAAACCAGTTTCCGGCCAAGAAGAGAAAAGACTTCGGACTAGGAGGCACTCATGACTTCCCGAATAATCTGATGAAATGCATCCATAAGGACTACCGAATATTTAGATAAAGAGCAAAAAAAGATTGACCCCCTTTTAGCAACAAACAACAAGCCAGACTTTATGAAAATATTTACTCAAATTTAAAACATTGAGATATAAACGTTATCTAACTTCTCCATCTACCTTTACACTGAAACGATGATCTGCAAGTGACATGAAAGGTAGTCATTAGAAGAACAACCTTCAAGGAAAAGGAATAGGAATTTAATATTCTGCACAAAGAGTGTTATCATAGCAGTGTTCTATAAAAATGTGAGTGTACAGCAGAGGGATCAAAATGAGAGCATGAAATTGAAATAAAGCAATAAAGCGTGTACCTCCCCGTTAAGTACTTTTAGCAACAAAATACATTTCTATGTTATAAGAAGTTACAATAGCATATTCATGTAACTACTATTAATTATWGAGTAAAACAGGCCTGTCACGCCAGTGGTCTAGTAAAGGTTAAAGTTAAATGAGTATGACTTATAGGTGCATGTGTGAATTGACTATATGCCTGAGAAACTGAACTGCTCTACGCATACCCTTGGATAAGCATATCCTAACATGAAACATATACAATTTTCCAGCAGAAGCTCTTTCAAATGTAACTTTTACCAGGAATGGAGGCACCATGCCTTTTGTTATTAGCTTAGATTTATACTAACCCAACCAGCGTTTCGAACCGCCATTGACCCGGACGGTCAGACTGTTCGGACCGGGAACTGTCTAGGCACCATAAGATACGATAGCATCAAACCGCCCTCCACCCCCCTCCAAACGACTACACACACAGATTGATTGGTTCTGTCTGTGTTACTCCAGATTGGAGATAGACGAAATTTATTGGTTGAGGTTCAAACTAGTAATACAGAATGCCCTTATGTTTCTTCTGTCATGAACTAATACTACAGTAAGTGGAAATCAATGACTCTACCAAGTACACAAATTTCCTATTTGCAAAGAGAATATATATTCATGCAAATCAAGAGAAAGAGAGCGAAAGCGATAGAATCATACCACGAGAGTGTCATCGGTGTAGTCCCCCATGAACTCTTTCAACTTTTCCTTCACTCTCTCTCGCAGCTTTACCACTCCATCCCTACTGAAATTAACCCTAAATGTCCGTTCATCAGCTCGATCCAAATCTTCCATCACTGAATCCATTTCTCCACATCCATCAACAAACCAAATGGACAATACACTTTCTTCCTTTTATTGACAAGTAATCAAAAGTATTTCATTACACACAAGAATAGGATGCAACATGTAAAAAGCCATATGCCTACAATCTCAATGATTATTGAATATTTAGATTTTTTTGATAGGCAAATGTAATATTTGTATTACTAAAAGACTAGCAGAGGGGGCCAAAAGTAGGGGTGGCAACGAGTCGAGCTTTGCACGAGTTGCTCAAGCTCAGCTCGTGAAAAGCTCGACTCGGCTCGGTTTCAACCGAGCTCAAGCTCCAACCCAAGTCATTGGCTCAATTATGAAACGAGCCGAACTCAAGCCTACTAGAGCTCGGCTTGTGAGGCGGAATATATATATATATATAGAAAATAATATATATAATAAAATTCTTATAATTCTTATTTTTTAAATATCAAATAAAAAATATTTTTACATATAATTTTTTTATAAAATATTTTTTCTCAAAATTGAGCTTGAGCTTATGAATTTTTTACTCGAGCCGAGCTCAAGATCAAGGTTCTGGCTCGAACCGAGCTTGAGCCTTGTAGAACAATATCGAGCTGAGCTTGAGCCTCGTACTATTCGGCTCGAATCCACCCCTAGCCAAAAGACATAAGGAAAAGGAAAAACTGAGAATTCGTAAGATCATCTCTCTAACTATGTAAATTTGAATTTTCGAAAATTTTAATTATTCATGCTTGTTAATTTGTGTTCATTGAGATAAATCCCAACCAATCCAATTAACAAGACCATGCCAAATGTCACCTGTGAAAACAATTTTTTAGGAGTTAAAAACTAAATTAATTAAAAGCATAGATGGTTATTATTAATCAAGTAAATAGAGTTGGGATGTGCTGACATGTTGTGACTATGAGATTCAACACATAATCAAGTTACTGCCTTTCATTTTGTACTTGATGGACGGTCTAGAGTAGTTTAAAAATTTATGATTGAAAAGCCAAGCTCATAAATTAAAAGAGAAATATTTAGTTATTATCTTCCAAAATAACTAAATATTTGTAAAACATGCTGTCATAATTCCACTCAAGTTTGTCTCTCTTACATGTGTTTGTTTACTTGAAATAGCAGCAGACTTCAATCCACCATAGACAGGGTAGAACTATGATAGATTGATAGTTGACATGAGCAGACCATTAAAAGCCTTGCCTTCATTGATGGAGCCCAATCCTTGGGAACTTTTGGTCAAGTGCCACCAACACACAATCCACCTGCCCAAACACAGTAGAACCCCATCAAGCTAGAAATACAATGGATTCCATAGATTAAATGCTCAGTACTCGATCGATTCCTGCCATCACATATTCTAAGATGACATGCATTTTAATTCAATCGGGAACATAAACAGAGATTTAAAAACTCTACATATAAATAGTTTAATTAATCGAATCAAATAAACATAGCAAAAGCAAGAGGATTTCAATTACAAAAACTCTACGGATAGAGAGATTTAAAAATGAAAAATCAGATATTATTAACAAAATAAACTAACACTTAAAGTCAGAAATTACTTCACTTAATCAAATAAACATAGCAAAAGCCAAGAGGAATTAAATTAACACCAACCAAACAATTTTCAACATGATGGCAGGTTCATGTGATAAAAATTTTAGTAAAAGAAAACATGAATAATTACCACCATCTACTTCACCACCCCTAAGCATCTGCTCATTGGCTGCATTTTCCAGTAAAAAGAGGATTATTGTAAAACCACAGCTTGTTCTGTTCAGGAAGGAGAAATTTAAAAATCATCAAATGAAGCTATAACACAATCCTGACTGCAGATTCCATCTTTAGTGGTGGACAATTGCAGTGATCAGATTCAGTTTTAGCTAGGCAAATTGTAAAACTATAGAGATCTTATGCCTCAATAATTAGAATTGTTGCATGATTTTCACACCAGCAAATCAATGTGAATTTTGCAAATATCAGCTATTATCAAACAAATACGAGATTTCGAGCATGGTGAACAACCAGGTCCAGGATTAGAATAGACATCCTCAAGAGGCCCGTAAAACTCCACAGTACTAAGACAGATGCAGACCCTGACAAATAGTATATAATAATTTATTATTTATTTATAGGTTAGGGAGGGGTCGAGGAAAATGCAAATTTCCGCTGCAGTACAGCCAAAGTAATGGACCAGAAGCCCATAGAATTTACATTTTACTTTTTCCCTACGGATTCAAGAAACGCATAACCTAGAACAGAAGTTGGAAACAAACTGTTGACCTCAAGCAAATCTTATCCTAGTTCTGAGAAACAGAAGATAAAGACAAAAACTGGTAGGATTGAAAATACAACATGCGTCGGAAGTACCATCGACGAATCACTGAGTGGTATCTCCTTTCTGGTTCTTGAGAGCATTCAACCGAGACAGTGCGAAGTGAACCATGCGATCATCTCCACCGTTGGACGTTATCAAATCCCTAGCAATGGACTCTCCGCCATCAGAGGAACTGGAGAAACCAGTATTCTGTTGGATATGGCGTCGGAAGTACTATCGACGAACCACCGAGTGATATCTCCTTTCTGAATCTTGAGAGCACTCAACCGAGACAGTGCGAAGTGTACCATGCGATCATCTCTACCGTCAAAGCCCTGGCAATGGATTCTCCGCCATCAGAGTAACTGGAGAAACCAGTAACCCAGGCACTCCAAGACTGTAGAAAATCGTATTGCAGAGCAAAGGCGAGAGAGAAAACCCTGGCCCTGGAGAACCTCTAGGCACTCGCAAAGAAACGCATGTGAAGGAGAAAGAACAGAGAGAGAGAGCAGGATGGCAATTTCCCCGTAAAAGCGGCGCATGTCCAAACGGGGCGGGTTTTCCCGATCTTAAATGGGACGGGGCGGGGACGGAAAAATATTCATGCCGCGACCAGGGACGGGACGAGGACGGCGTTTGCATAATACGGGTGTGAACGGATCGAATTCGATTAGAAATTTCGATGTGCGACGGATATTTAATATTCGAATTCGATTAAATATTTGATATTTGATTCGATTCAAATTCTATTAATTAATTAGTTTAAATAATTAATAAATATTTTATTTGTATAAAATACATAAATTATTTATATGATAAAGCAATGCTTTGTTCATCGGGCTCTACTCCAGCGGACTGGCCATTGGATCGGGCTATGTTCATCAGGCTTTGTCCAGCGGGCTGACTACTTTGTTCACAGGCAACGCGACCCAAGAGGCTATGTCCATCAAGGGCCGGCTTTGTCCACCAGCAAAGCATCGGTTCGGGCTAAATCCATCAACCTTTGTCCAACGGGCTTTGTCCATCAGGCTATCGGGCCATGGACCTAACCAACAGGCTATTCCCGTGCCCCCGGTTAGAGTTCACACGTGCAAGCTTAGGGCTCGCACGTGAAGATTCCATTTCTCAAGCTTAGAAGAGTCGAAAGATTTCATTTCGAAGTTTAGAGGGCTCGTCTATATACCATTTTGCTTTTAGTAGATATATAAGATTCAAATTCAATTAAATATTTGATATTTGATTCGATTTAAGTTCTATTAATTAATTATTTTAGATAATTAATAAATATATAAAATAAATATTTTATTTTATATAAAATATATAAATATTTATATAATTTGTATATTATAAATTATATAAATATTTTATATTTTATATATGAAATCATCGGTTGAATATAAAATATATTTTATATTTTATATTTTATATTTTATATATAAGAATTAAATAATCGGTTGAATTCATATATTTATCGAATCGAATCAGGTCATATCCAAATTCGAATTCGATTAGCTATTCGATATGAATAGGATACGAGGATATCTAAATTCAATTATGTTGAATCTTGAATTTGAAATCAGATTTTTGAATACCATTGACACCCCTATCGATGGCAAACTAGTAAAATATTTTTTGGTTTAGTATTAATTTCCAACATACTTCTAAATCATTCCCAAATTTTTAAAATCCTAAGATCCCATAATTTCATTTTTATAATATTCCCAAACTGTCATAATCCAATTCCTAAAACATCCAAAATTTCCATGTATTTTTAGGTAGTTACATTAGGGTAGGGAAAACTCAAGGATTCCCTATCCCTAATGGAGAGTGGGTGGCCCACCCCACCACCAGGGATGGAGTGGGGACGAAGTAGGGTATTTTGGCYATGGGGTAAGGAGGGGAGGGGGTGCCTTGTCCCATTGCCATTCCCAAGCGAGAGAGTGAGTGAGAGAGAGAGAGAGAGGGGAATAGAGACAGATGAGAGAGGGAGAACGAGAGGAAGGGCCTCAGAGTGAGGGGCGAAGTAGTGAGAGAGGTCAGGGAGGTTGAGGARGCAAGAGAGAGAATGAGAGAAAGCGAAGAAGGGGAAGAACTATTTCTCGAGAGGTGAGACGTATCCTTACTGGAGGAAAAGCTTGGAGAACAAGACTAGCATTGAAAAAAATATATAGGAAATGATACATGTGCAAGAAAAGAGAAGTGGATAAGGGGAAAAGACGATGAAGGACTTGATAATGGGACAAGTGTTGAACGCAAGGCAGGTGAGGGTATAGACGTCTAAAGGGGACATGTGTAATAAATTGAAAGTAAAAGAGAAAAAGGATGGAGGAGAAGGAAAGGGAGGGGAAGAGAGAGAGAGAGAGAGAATGCAAGGACACGTGTTCCAACTATAAGCGGCACGTGTCAAGCAAGCAGATGCTCCCCACAATACTCATTTTGCTTTAAGAATATAGTTATATTAGATAGGGAAAACTCTCAATAAATATATACAAAGCTAACCCCTTCAATGTGAAAGGGGCATAATGGAAGATTATATAGACATCATAGACTAAAAGTGAGGATTTATAATAAAAAATGTGACCATTAAACCCACCCACCCATACAATTTGATCCCATTTATCACAAAAATCATTGAAAAATGGTGGCAACTCATACCTAGTTGTTCATGCAACATGTGAAATTTCATATTCCACAAAACACCCAAATAAAAATACAAGATAAAAAGAAACCCAACCCTAACCCTAACAAAACATTTCAAGTATAATAAGATATCTTGAAAAAAGAAAAAATGAGACCCTAACTAAAATCTTCAAATATGAAGAGAAAACTCTCATGTGTTCATTAGGGATAAAAACTTATCGACACAATTCCTTCAGACAATGACAAATCTCAATTGCACCTGATGATTATTGTTTCCACGAAAACAAACAAAATTCAATTTAACGAACAACAAAACTCAATCCAAAATAAAACCAATAAGAGATGAAACATAACAAAGAGGAAAAGAAAAAACAAAAAAAAAAACAAAATGAATGACATCGGAAAAGGGACAAAGCGAAACCCTACCCTAGCAAAGAGGTGATCTGGAAACCCCAAACAGACGAGCAAGAGGTTTAAAAGCAAAGGGAACGAATGAAAGAGAGACAAAGGCAATGTGTTTGTGCCATTTGATCATTCTCCTTCTCTTTCTCTCTCCCTCATCTATTTAAGACTATATCCGCCAATGAACGCTTTCATTGAGTCAGTGAAGCTAAAATACAAGCCACATTGCTTGACATTCCCTTTTTTTGTCTCATCAAACTATTTTATTTATGCATTTGCCATTTCAAGCGTATAAGACTTGTTGGGGGGCTTTATTGGTACTTCACAGTGGCACTGTCGTCATTGTGGGATTTGAATTTTTTGTTTACCATTTTGCCCTTCCTTTATAAGATAATATTTTGTTCTTTTTAATGACTTTTATTAAAACAAACAATTTATTCAAATTTCGTCTTTGATTTGGGGAGCCTTCTCTCTCAATTTAGTATTTTTTTTTTTACCTTTATTCATCTCGTCAGTTTAATTAATCATATTTTCTACGAGTATTTTCTTTATATTTGTCATCAAATATGTTGCTTGATTTGCTATCATGTAAACATCCAAAAAAATTACTTCCAATTTGGATTGTAAAACTATATCCGAATAGTTGGTCATTGTAATCTTACTAAGCTTGGAATCGCCTTTGTAAGCAATTGTTTGTCCAACTTTGATCTATAAGTTGCATTTGGAAACAATGCAAATAAGTGTGAATGCAAATATGTAGAGTATAAAATGATCCATATAAATTGCAAATTTGGGTTAGTTTTGCACTAACAAATTTACCTTATTACCAAACAGACTTTTAGCTGTAATATATGCAAACACGAATTCCAACAAAGCATGCCTTTTTTTATCAAAAGCCCACTTGATGAAAATTTACTTCTTTTTTATTGATGTACTTTTACATTTTATTATCAATGTAAATATGCATTGGAAAAATGTGTTTTCTGTAATTTGTCAGTGCATAAATGTAATGTTGTTAAACACAAGCAAATGTGAACCAGAGTGCAAATTTACCCTGAATCGGGTTTTACACTCCATTTGCATCATTTCCAAACGCAGCCATAGGCTCAATTTGGAAAGAATACAAATATAAACATGTACAATGTACATACAAGGTTACAAATACCACTTACAAGATTTTACATTGAACATATTTATCTTTGCATTCTTCCCAAATTGAGCCATTATACATTTCAATGTGGTTTGTTTTGGGGGGAGTCCATCTTATCATTTCATGAGTTTCACCTCATTGCCTAAGCCATTTGATGGTCCGTGTTGAAATCTAACAAAATTGAGACATTTCTATAAGCCCCCTGTTTGGTGTGTCTTTCTATGTGGGCTGTCATCTTAGAAGCCCAACAATCTGTGTTTTCATCTTTTCTCATTTGATTGGGGGAAGATATAGCCACCCAAATACTCCGCCCCAAAAAGATGCGAGAAACTCGATTCGAGCTTATTTAGAGAAGCTATAAATTGAGTTTATCGCCTTTTTTTTGTCTTGTCATTGCGCAAAAAGATGCACCTCCAACCAAATGGATTGTGGACTACCAAGATCTTTATGTAAAAACCCACTATGTTGTTTAGCTGTCAGATTTTCCAGAAGATCTTTCAAACAAGATTTGTCAAACGGCACCATAGTCATCGTTAAAGGGTATGAATCATTATTAAACACTATATACCATACCTTCCTGCATGCTACATGTTCCATGAGAGGTGTGGCACAATATTTTAACAATGTGACTTGCATGATGGTATGTCATAGTGTTTAACAATGATTTCATACCCTTTAACAATGACTATAGAAATGTCATGATTTTGCTAGATTGCAACATAAACCATCAAATGGCTTGGGCAATGAGGTGAAACTCGTGAAATGATAAGATGGATTCCCCCCAAACAAACCACATGGGAATGCATCATGGCTTAAATTGGGAAGAATGCAAATATAAATATGTTCAATGCAAAATCTTGTAAATGGTTTTTGTAAACCTTATATTTACGATACATATTTATATTTGTGCTCTTTCTAAATTGAGCCTACATATCAAATTTGGATGAACAATTACTCACAAAGGAGGTTCCAAGCTTAGTAAAATAGTAAAATTGCAATAATCAACTACTCAAAGATAGTTTTACATCCCAAGTTGGAAGTAATTTTTTTAGATGTTTACATGATAGCAAATCAAACAACAAATTTGATGAAAATACAAAGAAAATACTTGTACAAGATAGGATTGGTTACGCGGAAAGAAATGAACAAAAGTAAACAAAAAAAAAGTAAATTGAGAGATAAGACTCCCCAAATCAAGGATTGTGAATAAATTGCCCATTTCAATAAAAAATCATTAAAATTTGGCATGGTAAATGAAAATTTCAAATCCCATAATGATGATAGTGCCGCTGTGAAGTACCAATAAAGCCCCACAAAGAGTTTCATACATTTGAAATGGAAAAAGCATAAATAAAATAGT